CTGGGACTGGTTGGAAAAAGCGGAGAGGAGGTCAGTGTATGACATGGTGTCGTGGTATGAAAGAAAGCTGCAAAGGGCTAGCTTCTGTTGGTCCTTCACGACTCCCTGGCTGGGGTCCGAGAGATGGTGCAACACAGTGGCTAGAGACGTTATCAGATATAGCTCAGAATAGAAGCCAGTGGCGAGCCTGCTGTAACCTTCTTCTACTTTCTTCATAAAGAGTGGCTATAACTTTCCTAACTGAGAGAGCTTTTCTGGTTGTACATTTCAGTTCCCCCCATCATTACTCCTTTTCTTTTTTTCCTTCCTTTATATATACGCATCTTCTTCCTTCTCCTCCCATTCTCATTATTTTGTGTGGCGCATATGTATTCGGTGCCCTTTGTACCAATATATATGTGATTAAATAAATAATAAATAACGATGTCAAATCAGTGACGAAAACCCCTAATAAACTGAGATCAAGGATAAGACAACTAGCTTGACGAATAGATTTTTTCACCCAATAAAATAACATGTTTATATACAGATTATTATTACGAAGTAAGTATAATTAGATGTCATAAACGACTGAAGGGAATTAGCCTTGCAAGTTACCTGTTTTTCAAGGAATTAAGGCTCGACTGTTAGGCTTAACTCTTGTCTATCATACTGTTTTTTGAATACACTTTTACAATGTTTGATCTTCCAATGTGTTTTCTGGGTGATTTAATAATAAAAAATGATTACTCTTAAAGGTGATACTGCTATTACAGGCGGAATAATTTTTAGTTACTTAGATTTAATGTTTTCCCCGATACACAAAGTGTGAAGCGAGTTGGTTCTTTATTATGACATGGTGAGGTCAAATGAATAACGCTACTTGGATTTTGTATGCGCGTTTCGGAGACGCAGCATACATCGATGTCGCGAGATTCTAAAGTCCTGACTAAGGAAGCCTGTTGTTCTATTTGGCACAATGTTCTGACGTTAAAAGCTCCTACATGTAGTTTAGAACGTGGTTTCAGGAGGCCAGGAGTAACATCTCGCGTACTCAAATCGTTTGCCCTAGCGGTGCGAGGTGATAAAGGGACGTGAGAAGGGTTAGTCGTGGAGATAGTTGTAGGAAGGATTTAAATGTGACCAACTTGGTCTCGTGTGCTGTTACGGGTATGAGGGCTAATATCACTTCCCGACTGCCCACACTGTGGAAGGGTATTTCTTGAGGGACCTGAAAAGGAAGTTGGATTAATATTGGTTTTAACGATCTGGGAGTGTGACCACAGAATTCAGGGGACAACTGCTTTTCTAACCTCTTCCTTCCTTGTGAAAAGGCAGCATCGCTGCAGATGCTGGTTGTCCGAGGGAAACACTTAACTGCTGTCACACCCCTCTACAGTCAGCAGTACGACTTCGCCCTAAGACCTTGAGTTGCTGCTTTTAGTCTTACCGTTCTCCAATCGACCTGTCTGACATGGTAGAACATACAGGAACATATGTTTTAGCTAATATAGGTCGTTTGGGTCATCACAATAGGCAAGCCCGAACACGACGTCAAGGTAGCAGCTACGGTCGAGTTAATGTTTTCTTAAATGACATGAACGAAACTGAAGACTCAGATGAAGCTTAGGTAAATTAAACAATAATGTAAAGTGGTAAGTTAGATGAATGTAAACGTGTGACAAATGATCTGTCAAATTATATGAGATGCTGATTATACCAGAGTTGGAATGGAAAAACGCAGAACATGGTTTAGACTAAGTCATGGTACCATAAATTGAAGTCATGAAAGACTTGGTAAAGAACAGGTATTGTGGTGTTGTCTACTTATATCCATATAAGTAGTATATGGTGTGGGTCAGACATAGAATGTATTTTCGCAGAAGACCGATGAGCAAAGAACTGAAATGAAGCGCAATCGTTTGGAAAATGCATGAGCAATGGAATAAGAGAAGAAACAGTGAAGATTGAAACAATTGGTTGTTAATTTGCAAATTGACTGTTCATTGTTTGGTTATCAGAATTTACCGAGATAGTCTGTAATCTTTGCTTAAATACATTCTATTGTCCCCAACTAGTGTTTTGTTCACTACAGTATAAAAAGAACTACACAAGATGTCCTAAAACAAGTAGCTTATTGTTTTATATTCAAAGTAATAGTTACATCAAAGATTAATTTGTCGTGTCTAGTAGTGTCACACCTACACGAGTTATTCTAGCTTTTAGACAGACCGATTAATTTGTTCTTTTTAAATTACTACCTACACATATCACGACCTTGTCAGTTATTCATTTATATCCTTGGCTATTATTTGTTTGAGCGTGTATCGCTAACTTTATTTATCATGTCTTTAGCTCACTCTTGTCTGGCTATAAACAGTGAGTCACACCTGCGAGAATCAAGTCAATGATTATATAAGAGGGTAGGCGGGATGCATATTTTGTTAAAATTATCATACGATCATATTGGGGCCAGACTATGAACCACTAGAAATTTATTTATGGGTTAGTTGGAAATGACAGTAAATGTACAGATACATGACTATAGAGATCATGGACCAATGATACGGGTTTTGTCAAATACCTCAATTTTATGTTATTTATTCTAGCTACTACTATTAAACCATACCAAAACCCTTAGAAACATTAAGACGAGATGTTACGCAAAATTTCATATAGAGAGGATTAATGTGAGACACTCAGCCCTTGATAAACAGGTGGACAACCCGCACACGACACATTACGATTATTATAATTGTTAATGGCTTTATACAGTACTATATACCTAGAATATGAAGTTCTCTGCATGCCACAGCGTAGAACTTCGTACGTAAGTACATCAGTTCGAGCTGCCATACCACGTTAGCACAGAGATGCAGTTGTCGATTCAAATCCCATAGTGGTAGAAGTAGTAAGAGCATAAGCATTATGTGAAAGATTAGGGTTTGAAGATGTTATTGAAGGAGTATAATACGGTGAGATAAATTTGAAAGAGAAAAAGGATACGGACATGAGGAATTTAGAGAATTAGAATTTGGTAGAACACAGAGTGGATGCACCTTCTCCACTGCAAACGATTTTGAGCCATGTCATTTAAGGTCTCTATCCATCAGTTGTTATTGTCTCGCGAATCCCAACCAGGTAGTCTACACCTACCAACATGGCTCAGTCCAATTGTCAGTGACTTCATGGATTTGTGCCACGTTTTGGTCTGACAGCCCCTAGTTTTCTTCCAACCTTCTCCTACACCATAAAGCATTGCACGTCTGGGCAGTCGGTGGTTGGACATATGTAACACATGTCCCAGCCATCTCAACTGATCAAGTTTCACTACTTCATCAATCAATTTGCCATCCCTACCTAGTACCCGTTTTCTAACATCTGCATTACTTACCCGGTGGTCCCAGGATATACAAGCAATGCTTCGAAGACACCTATGATCGAACACTAGTAACCTACGAATATCCTCTACTCTTATCGGTCATGTTTCACTGACATAAAGTAGGACGAACGAACTGATGCACAGTAAACACGTCCTTTGGTTGCTAGACGGATATCTCGCCTACGCCATAAATGGCGCAAGTTGGCGAAAGCTAGACGAGCCTTCTGTATCCGTGCTGAGATTTTGTCACACACCAGACCACAAGGGCTGATGAGACTCCCAAGATACGTGAAGTGGTCTACACGCTCAACTACTTCACTCCCTATCATTATTTCAGGTGTCGATGCAACCCAGTCCTGAGTAACATTTTGCACTTCGATAGAGAGAGAATCGCATTCCGAACATGCCTGCATAGTTGCTTATAGTGGTCAGAAGACTGCATTTTGTCAGCGTCATGCCGCAGGTGCTCCAAGTTCGTAAAAACCCAAGGGGTTCCTTATATTTGTGACTAGATTTGATCAAACACTAACCAAATAATGTTAGCAAGACCATCAAGGTAAGTGAGCTGTTCGGCTCAAACCAATCACACTTAGGATAACAGGTCCTGAATTTTGGCGCGGAACTCATCCACTTATTTATCTATATAGAGTATTGGTATTTTAGCTGATGTCAGTTCGCGATGAAAAATATGAATCTAATTCCTAACCCTAACCGTCATAATCCTTATTCTTCAAACTGCTTTATAAATCTTCAGTCCTATTGATTGGGTGAACACTCTCAAGACCACTAATGCGTTTCTCAAAGGTCGTTCATAAATTATAGTCTCGCCTAAAATTGATTAGAAGCGGATCGAGAACAAATAAGTTATACTCCAATGCAACGGATTTGCTGTAACTCTGCCATTTATGACTTCTCATAGTTTTAGGGACCCTGAAACCCAGTGGGCATTTCTATGCCGTCTTGAAGTATGGCAGATCGAAAATAGACGTTTATAAACGAAGCTGCGCGTTGATGTCAGTCTCTTTGGAGCAAGAAAGAAAGCTGTTTTCACGACGTTGTGAACACTCAAAAATACCGAGGCACTCCCAAAGGATGTGTGTAGCACTTACCGCTACGAATATTCGGCATAATTACATATTGAGACTGTAAACCAAGTCATCGATAATAATAATATAGTGTCATTGGATCTTAAGGTGTAAAGGAAGTTCAACAGGTTTTTCCAATGACATCAGACACTGTACAGACTTATTCGCCACCATTTATTGCATAAAATCTGAGAAGATATTAGACTGAATGTGGTTTTTGTTCTCCATAAGTTACCCTGACAACGTCGTTGTACTATAAGCTTAAGGTTCTTAATGAAGAAAAGCTTTTGTCTATCACGCTAAAAGACTCTTCAACCAAGCTTATAAACAGTGTATCATAATGGCCATCTGTTTCCAAATAAAAGCGGAACACAACGTAGAGCTGTCAGAACTAATTATAAAAAAATGGATTGTTGAGATCAACAGTTGCTAGCTAGAAAGACCAGATTTAAGTAATCCAGGTAGAAGGGCGATAAAAAGAGTGATGAACGAGTAGTGACATATTGTCTTACGATTACCCTGGGAAATATATCACAAACCCTAACCAGACCCACCATGTGGTGAAACGAAGACGAACTCCGCGCTGTTTTGATTACAACGGCCTTGACAGGTTGAAATAGCAGTGCCAAAAATGTCGTTGAACTAGTGTTTATATTCACATAGTTGCAAGTCATTACAAGTGGAGGAAACTTGACCAATTTATCACTATAGATCAACCAGCTTTATTGAACTTCTAATGCTTGAGTATCCTATAGAAATATGTTGGGAATGATGATTTCATGTACTACTATTCTCCACCCATAAAAATAGTTTTTGGTTATTCATTAGAACACGGTCAGCCCTTTTTGAAATGAGTTATTTAAATACCATGCCATTCATAGTTGACATTTGTCTACAGCCTTGGGGTCGATGGTAGCTGATCCCGTTGGTCAAGTGGGTTGAGGACAACCATGAATCTGCTGAGTATTTCATTACTGAGTTGCCTATACGTCTTGAAGTTATTTGGCAGCCGAAAGCACCGTCGCTCAGGGGGCTTCTGTTACATCACTTGAGGTTGTTACTAGGATCCAGCCTAGACATGACTTTTATAGAACATTAAGGTGTATTTATAATGAGGAGCTCCTTAGAGTGTGTAAGTGGCTAACATCAAAACCCATGTGAACCACTATAAACGCTCTGAGATTAAAAGTCAAAGCACAATTGCTCGGTTAACTTTAAATCGGAGGAAGATACTAATGAAGAAATTATTTTATCGTTTAACAGACTCCAAATGGGTGTAATTATCCGTTTAAACTCCTCAGTAATACTTCACCAAACCCGTCTATGAAGCGGTGATATGTAGAATCAAATGTACGTAGTAAATGGTAGTATTACAGTGAACGAGTACTCCATGGGGATAACTGATTCATTGATCCACAAAAAATTACAGTGTCTTGGTAAAATATGGAAAGCACACATTAAATATATTATTACCACATCTTCGTTCGGTTGCCGTTTAAATGCTTCATGGTTGTTCTGACTTTATTGATATTCCAATTGTTTTTTGTTTTCCTTCCTGTTTTCAATTCAACCTTTTGTTGACAGGCTCTCCACTTATTACTGGTGTTATATAATACTTATATCTGTCAACAGAAGTATTATATTCCACAGCAGCAGGTATATTTGAACTTGACTGACTGGCTAGTGCAAACTCTGATCAATTAAGCTTGATCCACATTATATATGGTTGAAATAATATGCAAATAACAAATAAGCGATTAAAATAAAAGCAATGATGAAGAAGGGACGTATCCGCCATTATACGCGTTTGGCTGACTGACTTGGCTGGTTAAATGTTTGGGTCAAAATGAAATAATTCGTGAAAATACGACGACCTATCTATTCGACAGGCTTTTATGACCACCAGTAGCTATATAGTGTTGCACTTGTATATAACTCAATTGATTTGTTCCAAGTTTACCTATTCTGCTGACTGTGAACGTCTCTCTACGACTTTCTTAATAACCTCATGTACTTTTGGACATTAAGACTAATTGAAAAGAATTATGTGATTTTCCTTTGTCTAGTGATTGAACTGTTCATACTCCCTGACGGTTTTTAAATGAGCGCTGTTCTGTTGGTTGGTTGCTCTCTCTAAGTGTGGAAAGACACATATCATGTCTAACTACCTACATGTCAGTCAAATCAGCATACTAGTTAAGCTACCTGAAAAACTTATTGAGGCTAAGTTATTAAGTGACGGAGAATCATACATTCACTTAACGCCTGAGCAACATGTATTTCAGAGTAGGAATTCATTTTTGAATAACTAATGGTGAGGGAGCAATGGGCAGCAGCCCGATATAATGGTTTGTCTATCGGTATGACATCCATAGATTTTAGCATACCATTTAATAAAGTTTATATGATGATCAGAAGTATTTGAATTGTAGTATAAACTAGTAATCCCTGTAATCGATTGTTCGTCTTCTTCTTAAGTTCATCTTACACCTGTCCGATGGTGTATTGGATGTACACTCTGTATTATCTAGAATGCACTCATTAGTATTAGAATTAACAACCGAAATTGGAACAGACTCACCTGGGTTCTAGAATTGTATACAATCATCATGTCGGTTGTGTAGTGAAACCATTGATATTTAGAATTTGCATCATAGAATTTCCAACAATATCCTCCCCCACGAAATAATGTTGGGTCCTTACGTCGCAATATTTTAGCCAATATGACATTCCCAATTTGCAGTATCTTCTCAAATCTCACGCATCGACTACTGTATGTGAGTATTTGGGGATAAACACTGATATATAATTCGAGGTATTCCATCATGTGACTTTGACTTGAATAAAAATCATGATACATATTCTTTTTGTTATTCATATTAGAATGCACAGATGGATATGCATTGATATATGTAATTAACACATGTGATTCAACTAGGCTTGATTTACCTGCGAAAAATCGAATAGAAAACATTCATCTGCTTCATATTCATTGGGATAATCTTGGACTTGATTTGGATTCTCTGTCTGTGCAAACTTCACTTCTGGGCAAGCTGGTTCTCTGATTATTTCTGTAAATTTTGCTATCCCCTCTGATTCATTATACCCCTGACCAGGGATTCTATTCAACATACATTGTTCGTGAGAGTATCCAATATATGATACAATAACATCAGAAATATGACTACAATTCGACTCATTCGGAACATATTTTTCACATTCATTAGAAATATCATTAGAGATAAATTGATTGTGAGGACCACTGACACTTGATATGATATCAGAATTCGATTCTTCTGAAATATTTTCCTCAAATTGATTAAGAGTTTCATTAAAGAATAATGGATCATCAGGGAATTCAGCATCTACCAAAACTGAATCTGGTTTTTGATCATGATTTGACTCATTCAACATTCTATTCTCAGAGTTGTAAGAAATTCCATCAGAAGTATGTTAATTATTACGACAAACCATATCTGGTACAATGACATGAGAAATTTGATAAGTTTGTTGACTAAAATTTTTGTCTCACAATGATTCTGGGTTTCATTCAACTCTGAACTGTTATGTGGCGTTATACCACTTCTAGATAAAGATAACTGATCATTAGAAGCATCCATCTTAGCATTAGTTTCAGCGAAATGAACCATGGTATTACAAACTGACTGAATACGTCCAGTTGTACCACATTTAAAGCATTTAGAATTACGAAATATACATGAATTACATGGGTAAAACTTGCCACAGAACAAGCATTTACTAATATCGTTCTCATCTCCATGAACTGTTTCAAAGCACAATGAAGTATTGTCTGGATAACTTTTATTATGCATCGAACTGCGACGACATAATAAAGTAATGGAATTCCTGATGTTCTGTCGAGTCATTTTATCGGATTTTTCTCTCTTACCGGATTCAGAATTTGTATACTTTACATGATCCAACAGTAGTTGCTTGAGAGTTTCATAGGGGAGTGAAATCGGTTTGTCTGGAAGTGCCAAAGTCTTTATAAGGCTGTATGCTTCTTTTCCGATGAATGTAAGGAAATGGGCCACAATATTAAAATCTTCATCATCTTCCTTGGTCATAGCCCAGATTTCGAACCTCTCCATGTAGTCCTCAAAAGCATTAAAATCTGAATTTATATCCAGCCGTTCCATCACAGACTCAATCGCGACGCCAATAAGGTGATCAGAAGTATTTGAATTGTAGTATAAACTAGTAATCCCTGGAATAACTCAATGTAATCAAGAAGTATTAGATGAGCCCAAACGAATGTATTGTATTTGGAATTCAAAATTACAACAATCATCAATACGAAGAAATCATTGATTTATTTAAACATCACGGTTTATCATCTAGGGATTATTCAGAAACTCTGGAGCTTTGGAATAACTGGCTACGTACAAGAGTGGATAAGAACGTTTCTATGCGACCGAAGACGACGGGTGAGGGTAGATGGGATACTATATGAATGGAAGGTGATCAAAATTGATGTACAGCAAAGTGCCATCTTAGGTATTCTGCCTTTTCCTTTCAGTGACTAAAAAGCCTTATCCAAAAAAGTGGTGTCAGTTCCGTCTTTGAATATTTTCAAGGAGAAGTTCGATCAAACTGAAAAATAGACTACAAGAATAAACACAGGTTTATCGACCTACTATATTTATTATTAAAGACTGAAATGTAAAAGCTGCACGAAGCAGTAACTCTGCAGGACATAGGTCTGGGCCACTATTACGGCTCTTATCTATACTACAAAGATAATAGGTCTACTACAATATTGTGGAATTAATATGAAATGACTATCTAACCTATAAGACCATGCTTATAAGTCACATCTTCGTCTATATTGACTTATCCTAACGCAGACGTCAGCATCATGTCTTTTGTGAACCTTTGTAAAACACATTTGAAGTTTGGATAGGATATTTAACAAAAACGATCGTTAGATTACATGAAGTAATCACGCCTGCATAGTTGAGTCCCGCCATTTCCAAGTGACACAGAGTTCATCAACTTTGACCATTTTCAAGCGTTACACAATTAATGTTAGTCTTTTGTGTTATTGTGTCTTCAGTCCCAAGGTCAGAAACCAAGTCTACTACAAATTTCACTGTTCGACTCATGATTTTAAACATTGTGATATGAGGTGGATTAGCACAATTGGAATTACTGGACATTATAAAGTAGTTTTAAAAGTAACGCACTGAAGTTCTATCAGTGAGCACTCCAATAATTTTACTCCTAAGGATATGGCATGCCGAAATACTTATTAACTAGGAAATAGCACAGACAAATGTAGGGTTCCAACCCTCAAGCAATGAGTCATCTGATTTAATAGAGAATGCATGTAACAAAGAAAACCAACTTCGAAGGTCGATAATAAATATATTTTTTGTCATATCTCAATGGGTAGAAAAATGGTATTTCTGATATTTCGTGATTTTTTAGTAGCGAGTGTTTATTAATTTTATTCACTCAGAAGAGGCGGCCTACAGCAAGTCACGAAACTTCAGGGATATAAATTTTCTTATTACTCAACGTTCAAGTCCAATCTTGTCAATGATACCTTTAAACAATTTGGAAAGAGTATGATGCATTAACCTATTCAATAAGTGTAAAGGAAACCTTGCTACAGGAGGAAACCACAATGTCTAACTGACTGTTCAATGTTATATTTGATCAAATCAAACTGTGGACTTACTTATTTATACTGCTGACTATGGACATTTTGGTCTCGCGCGGAATTGATTTTGCCTCAGAAACTTGTTGTAATCACTTGTATATCACTAACTTAGATGACTTATGTCGAATGATTGGGAGCCTGGTGCAGTTGGAAGGACCAACAGGTAACGTCGAAGTCATACTTAGAGGTCAGCACCTAATGAGGTCTACCCCTTCGTCGTATCAAGGTACTATTACTGCTTTGAAGACTGTACAACACAAAGAACGTTATTAGAGAAATATATGAGTTAAAGTAGGTATAAGCGAATGTGTGACCACTGCCGCATGGGTCAGTCTATGGAGTACGATTAACCGATGCAAGTTGGTTGTCATTGACCCTGACGGGGGTCGCTGAATTGTTCGACATTAAGTGAGCCAACTGCCGGATGATTTTGCTATGTCTCAGTGACATTTCATTGGTCCTACGCATTATTAGAAGACTATACTTTGGGTGGCCAATCATGATTTATGAACAAACCTTCTACGTCTGATTTGTAATTCGGTTTTCTCATTATTTAGGTTATAAGTTACGAGTGAATCGATTTGCCGTCCTTTAAGAACTGTCCAGAGCAGAATTTAGACGGAACAGGCTCTGTAGGCTTTAATCTGCCATGATTAAGCAGGAGTGACATGATACTCATCATTAGCTTGTATTTAGGTGACACTGTAAAACGCTCACCAAATTCAACATACTCCGATAGGTGGCTAAGCAGCTTCGTGTTTTTGTAGAGGAAAAACAAAATCTTTTAGTGGAATAATTTAGTAAAAAGCCTAACGAGCAATAAGACACACGGATCGTCATCACACTGCTGAAATAACCAGGACCATGTTACTGAATAAAAGATCCATATTAGTCTGTGGTGAAAAATTATCGTTGAAGTTGATTGTACAATGATTATAGATATACGCTTACCACTAAACACTCAGCGAAAATCAGTAGATAGAGGCCACGCAAAAAGAATCTTCGAGACTGCATGACTCCAACCATGCAGGCGTATTCTTCAAAGGTTCCACAAAGCAGCTTTCCTCTTCGCCGCGACATGGTGAGTTTAGACAATGACGTGACTACGTGGTAACATCGCGAAGATTTGACAGTCACTCTATAGCAAGTCCTTCATAAGTTTAAGCCTGTGTGCTGATTATAATAACTAAGTTGACTAATACCTTTTTTTGGATTAATTTCAATAGACCCATCGGCCTGGAAGATAACATTAGAACTCAGACACCCAATACAACTGAGCAACTAAACCACATTGAACTTATCCTTTGTGTGTCACAACACCAGTAAATGCTATGAGGTTTAGAATGGTTTCAGATATTCACTTGGTTCACATCAAAGTAGCGAATCGTAAGATACCATTGATTTACAGTCCTTAAAACAATCGGACATCGTGGCTACATTCAGAAGAGATATAATAAATGAGCTGAGTAGGATGACTTCTCTAGTCTGAGCGGACATTTTCGGTAGTGCTCGAAGTGTGTTATATTTATGTTATTGGCAAAACACATAAAAAATTCCACAATTCATTGTCGGTAGTGTCCTGCTTGACTTCCAAAACGACCTAGGGGATGTAAATCAAAACAACATGACAGAGGAATATGGATGTAAATATTGGTAGCCGAAGGAGGGGGAGACGTTAAAAACGATGCCAGAAGTAGGTAAATGGTCAAGAGCCTGATAAATATGAAAACAAGCTAGCTGAGCGGTATTGTAGTCACTGACACCACTAGTTAACAACTGAAAACAATAATAATAATAGAGGAAGTATGTGTGTCATATTCATGGTTGGTGGTTTTATAAGATGATGTGAAGCCGTACGTCAAAAAAGAATCGATGAACAAACTGCGGTAAAAGTGATGGCTACTTTTTGTGCACTAAATCGGCTATCTAACTCTGTTATTCTACTGAATTATTACCAACCTTTTGTTGAATTGTTGATGTTTAAAAAAGCAACAATGAAGAGATTTTCGTATCCTGCTACCTTCTGTGCCAGTTATTGAGCGTCGTTTGGAGTAGCTCTGAAATGGCATAACACTTCGACAGTTTTAATATTACAAAAAGACGTCCTTTAACTTAACAACTAATATATAATTGACTCACGCTTTCAACAATGATAAATACTAAATCTCCACAAAACCCCTTCTATAATATATAATTATTTGTCGGAACAATACATTTATTCATGAAATTAACAATAGGTGAGAGTTCGGTAAGAGAATATTTCGTATGATCTCAATCGTTTGACTTATCTGAACGGCAGTTTCAGTCATATGAACTAAGTGGACACGATAAGGACTTGGCGTATCATGTTTTGTTTATACCTTTCATTAAACATCAACTTCCAAATTTTCTGTTTCGAATGTTAAGTTTGCGGGAGATTTAATCACTCTCAGTTAGTACAAGTGTTCCTAACGTTACGGTTTACTTACCACATAATAAAACTGATTATTGAGTTTCTTTTAATGCAAAACTATGCTAACCTGGTTACTTTGCAACTCATTTGGACCAATGTTTGACCTAAGGATAATATTTTGATTGACATATAAGTTTTTTACCTTCTATTCCATCTGAATCGATATATGAAAATGCGTGAACGATTCTCCGCCGAAGATAGCAATACTTCGTCTGCGAATTTCGGTTGTTCGATGCGTGAACTGCAGGGACTTATGCAGTTGCGTGGAGCTGAAGCAGTAGAAGTTGTGAATAAAAGATTTGGTGGAGCTAGTGGTTTGTGTCAGCGTCTTAAAACCTCTCCAACTCAAGGTCAGTTAGTGTTATTTTCTGAAGCTTGTATTGTCAGCACCATATGGAAATTAGATAAGCTTTTATAATTACTCTTTATTCATCTGGTCACTCATTCTGTTAGATGGTATTTTGGTGTTTGACACTTATGATTTAATTCCAAGAATGTCTTCGGTGATTTTATTGTTCAAACCCTATTAATTCAAATCACTGAAACACTTAGTCAAGATTTGTCCCTCATAATTAAGCATATTATTCGGAACCCTCGAAAGGCTGGCTTTTTAAGTAAAATAGGATAGGGGATGAATTAAAATTCTAGATAAAATTTTAAAATTTATTTTAACTGTTTTTTCACCATTTGTCTTGCTTTAAGTCGTTTATATCTTTCTTCACCGCTAGTAATTCACAGATAACTTTAGTCACTCAATAACTTTATCTGCAGAGCTATTGGAAACAAATCTGAATTAAACATATATATCGTGCATGTATAAACATTCTCAGCAGTTTACTGTTGCTTTTCACAGAAATATCGAAACCAGAACATTCAGGTTTTTTAAGGAGTGTTTCTTCTCAGACTATTAAATCAGAGGAGCTATCAAGTCGCTTTATTTTATAAAACTCATAGATAATATCAAGACACATTTGTCCATAACTCTATGATCGTTGAAGTACCGAAATCATTGTTTGCCATTTGATACTTGCTGATGAAAGGGTCTTATTAAGGGAGCATATGGGGTATACTAACTTGGTGCGTTTTTGGTTTTATCAGTTTAGTGACTGAATAAAGTTCCTAAAAACGTATCATTAAAGTTCTCAGAATTTCTGACAAAGCCTACGTGCTCCAAAATTGGTTTGTTAAGAATACATTGACTACAAAGATAGTGGTATCGAGGAGATTGCGCTAGGCATATACGTTTTAGTTTTTCCTACATGTTTGTCTGAAAACTGGCAAACGTCAATTACAACCAATACGTCTTAGTTTTCTCTAAATGGTTGTCTGAAAACTGGCAAGGGTCAATTACAATCAATAACTTCAAACTTACTCCAATTTCTGAAAGCTAAGATATTGATTTTCATATTCAAACTCCATTATGCCCGTCAAGTTTAGTTTTTGAAGAGCTAAAATGTCAGATAAATAGTATACATCAAATTAATTTCACTGATGTGAATACAATAAATCAGGATTTATACAGCTAAAATAAAAATTGACATTTGAATTTCTGCGTGTGACTATTTATTGGCTTGTTTGTCAAAAAGGGGTCAGAAGAGGTAAATAATCAATCTTATTAAAAGTAATGCTGTCAAATTTTTGATTACAAGTGCAAAAAAGTATTTCCATTAAAATTTATCTAGTTATTCCGAATTGATATATTTACTTGGTCAAACCGAATCATATCTGACGATAGATTTAGCCATAGCTGTGATTAAAATGTTAGCCAACAGTAGCACAGTTAGATGTACAACGCGTAAGCTAGAACCGTACATAAAATTTTCACCCACAGCCAAAACATGAAGAAAATCTACTGATGAATTCATACTGGGTAACTAAATTTGACAATGTAAATTTAGGATTGATGCAAAAGATCTCTGATATATTACGAAACTATAAGCTTCGTGAAGCCCAAGTTGTTTTACAATGGAGTACTCAAAACAATTTGAATTCCAGCTATCATTGGTCGGCAAACATCATAAAGCATTTATGAAGTTTATTTTAGTATTCTCAACATTTTATATTGAGATGTTTGTGAGCATCTGTTCACTTTCAACTGCGAAATAAATAGTTTCAGATTTACTTGAAATTGCAAACATCAACTCAAGTTGAGTTCTCTATAATACTGTTATGAGTACGCTACCTTGTCTAAGATAATGATTACTTTAATTACAGTTGTATAAATGCATTTCAGAATGAATCTTCATTGTTTTTGTTTCCAACTATATGTAAATGCAGCCGTTTTTGCGAAATAGAAAAAAACATATCACCGTTAAACTAGAGACGACACCGGTCAAATCCACATCTTCAGTTCTAGATTTGATTAAGTTAAAAAGAAAAGGGTTAAAGCAAAGTTAACTTATTTGAAAGCAAAAAATAATATATGAACTTTTCCTGCCACATTGTTTAAAGATTGCACACCTGATATCTAACACAGTGATGTTTTGTAAGTAGGACGTTTACCTCAACTTTATTTTTTGTTTTCATTCTCGACTAAACTTACAAGATTTTATAGTTTGTAGGGCCTGATTAATAATCTTTAGGTAGTCACTGAATATTATTTTTAAAGAGAAAAAACAAAACAGTGGAGGTCTGATATAATGAGTGAATACTAGGTGAGGGATTATATTCCAATGAGAATTAAGTCTAATGATATAAGTTGTTTACGTCTTTTGGTTTTAATTTAGATGCGTAGAATACAGTGAGTCATGTAAAAGTCATGAGTGAGAAAAATAATAATAACCTATTTTGTGTCATTTTGTCACATTTGATTGCCCTTTCTGAACTATGAACTTCGGATTTTTAGATGATGATACGAAATGTAATATCCGCGGTATACATATGCAGTAAAAACTTATACAAAATAGAAAATTTCTGACTCAGTTATTGTTTTTTTAGCTATAAATCAGTTACCAAAAAATTACTCTCTTTTGTTTCATTATAGATTTACCTAAGTGATATCTGATGAATAGAATTTCCCATCATCAACGAAATAAACTAGCAATTTTAGATCAAGTAGTAGAAGTAATTAGGTTCAACAAAACTAGATGAGACTGTTATACGGAAAAGTCATTTGGAAATGCTTCTCCAAGGTGTAGGAAATTTTAATCGGCTAAATTTATTGAAAAACTATTTGTTCTCAGCAATGGCCAGAAGTGTAAAGCACTTTAAAATAGTGCTACTCATTTGTTTAAAATTCATTACCACTCATTATTATGCTAGCAAAAAGTTATAAATATATGTGGTTCAAAAATGCTGCCAAAATAGTCATTAATAATGTGGTTGTATCAGGTAGATCTTTTAAAACGCAGACATTTTTAACAGTTATTTATAATACAGTGCAAACGTTTATTTGATTTGTGATGGTTGTTTTTAAACTATTGAAAAATTTAAAAATGTATGAGATAAGCATACCGATCTCTTAAGTCTGATTGCTGTCACTGCTGACAAACAAAACTGAGTATGTTTTGTAATTACTACGCGTTACTGAGTTTTTACTTTGTTCTAAGGTATTCATTACGAATGATTCCCGACATGACGTTTTGAAACTAACTTTACTTAGGTTAGTAAATAGCACATGAGCTTATTTTAATCTTCCTAAAACCAGAGCATACGCTCTAGAATCAGTAGGCCATGTTACCTCTCTATTTAAACCTGATTACTAAATTTTTTGAATAACATTACATTGGATTAATGTCTTATATGTTCTATACAAATGAACAGATTCAGTGAATTTGTTCATCCATTGAAGATTCAGATGTTAAGTAATTTAGTTATCAGTATATTGAATAGAGTGCTATGATCAACAGAGATCTTAAATACCACTGTTTTAAGTGATGGAAACGATGGTTTAATGTTTAAGAAGTACTACTTTAAATAAATTGGTCGAGTTTTACTAACCAGCCCTGAGAAAGGGAGAATAACAAAAAGACTAACAAACAAGTAAGTCTGAATTTTCGTTTGAAATGATTGTTCATAAATATGACAGGTTGTGCCTACAAATGGGTATAAGAGTAAGACAGAGGTTATACAAATGGTATATATATATATATATATATATATATATATATATATTCCGGTACTAAGGAAACTAAAAAGTGTTTGGAAACGGGGTCTTCAAACCATCAGTAATTGACAATTGAATGCGTTAAAGTTTCTTCAGTTATGGGAATGCTTTATTTTCTGTGTATATTTATCCTTGAAGTTAGTTAAACACTTGCACTAGTCGTTATTGTGCTGTCCATAGTTTGATGTTGAATATCTGTCTATAACTGATGTCCTTCTTTTGCCAATTGCAGTGTTAGCACCCCTGTTACTTTTAGGATCAAACAAGAAGTGCAAGGAATATATTCAAATTAAGTTCAGACATATAACAAGTAAATTTATCATTTGTTATGATAAAGAACTGAGGTAGTGCATTGAATGAGGAATGATACATCAAATTTGTATCTAAATGTCAGTGACAGGCTAGTACCAATACAATTAAACCAACCGATTTAAATAGGTAAAACGTTCTGTTGATAATTATATCTTCTTTACTGTGTTAGGGATCATTAAGCTAACGCTTTAACGAAAGCATTGGGTTACAATGATACTTGTCGTAGTCTTATATTTAGAGTCTGTACCTTAGATTGCAATTCAACCCTAATTGAGCAACTATTTTCTTCCGATGGAATGTGACCAAAAAATTGACCACAAATGCCTTGGTACGGCCGAGAGTGGGGAGAATCAGCTCTCCCTCTCCAAATGCTCTCAAATGAATACGCGTATACAGCCACTGCCAAGGAAGTCCTACTCACTGATTTCTTGCGACGAGGATCTTGTTTACGAAACTGAGAGGACGGGAAGCGAATGTCCGGCACTTTGACCGGGTTAGTGGACACAGAGAGTTCACGTAGGGGAGTTAGAAAACATGCATTACAAACCAACGGTGAATATGGGCTCCAGAATCCTGACCAATTGTTGGTCATTGTTTAATGTTTCTCCACTGCCTTATGGATCAGACCCTTTGGTCGAAGGCTCCGGGTGTGGCCTCCTAAGAAAACCACCTGCTTCGGTCTGGGCACTCGGGTAGCATCACAGCCCACACATAAACCAAGTGACTTGTGTGGTGCATATGTATTTGGTGCCCCTTTGTACCGATATTTTTGTGTTCAAATAAATAAACACGACTAATAAACTGATATTACCACTTAATTAAGACTCGTTGATAACATTTTCTAGATTGACAGGTAACCATTCTTTTGGTTAAAATTTATTTAGGTGAAAAATTAACCTTGATTGAATTTAACTGTTAGTAGATAATACTCTTTAATATGAATTCAAGTGTTTATATATATATATATATATATATATAAACTTTTGACTCTTTGTTTTACAAGTGTTAGATTTATTATTTTTTATGTACATAATGAAATAATGAATGTAAATCCAATAGTTTCTTAGTGACTCGCTACGATTGAATTAAAATTAAGTCAGTCATTTATCGATAACATTGTATGATAGTCATACTACACTACTGATTGACAAGATAAACATTTCAGGGAATTCGATTCCAACTCAATGATTCAATGGTATTATTTTCACCATAAGACCTGAGTTTGATTCAATAACAAACTCTTGATGTGTATTGAATGAATAATCTCAAACTATGATGAAAGATTTTTCCAGTGTTTCTTGGTTTTCAATAGTTTTTCAACTAATTACGGCTTGTAATAAATGTTTATTCGAAAATTTTATTAGATCCAAAGATGTTGAAACAATACTTGTCAAGAAAAAAGTCAAGACACTAGCCAAAAAAACATTACAATATCAAAAACAAATTGTTAATTTTAGTGTTATTAAACAAAAAAGCATCAAAGATAAAAACAAGTTTTAGTTAATAAATGAACATTTATTTAAATCTTTCGATTGTCTAAAATAAAAAAAGTGATTTGCTGAAACCAGTCAACATTCTGTCTCTTTCCAAAAATCAGAAGCCTTTTTGTTTCTACTGATAAATAATGGCTTATATAACAAAAGTAAATCTTATGATTTTTTTCCAAACAAAATGTTATTTACAGTATAGTCTATTTCAATGACTTAATTTTCAACCTAAATCTAGGTGACCATTATTGCTAAAAATAATGGTAAACAGCCAATGGTTGACCATTAATCTACTATGTAATTGGTGATTTTTAATATCATCTTTTAGGTTGATATTACGGATTTTATTAATTTTTTTAAAACATCTTTGAAAAAAAGAGTGAATGTTTCTCAAATAAATAATGAATGATTTAGATCTATAAAATAAAAATATTTTAAACTTTTTTGTGTTTGAATTCACTTAATATTACGTGTTTGAATCTTCTCATTGATGTTTAAGTTTGCAACTGGTCAGTCTCTTATTAGCATATGTGCATCTTGTGCATATTGCCTCGGTATAGCCCAAATTCACAAGCATGGTAAGCAAAGATGGGTGGTGGCTAGTAGTGGAATGCAGGACACGTGTTTCGACGTATTTGGGACTGGTCAGTTGGATGAAGCTGCATCTCGGAATTGATGTTCACTGTGGGACTGCAACCCAGTACCGTTCGCTTCAAACGCCATCACGTTATCCACTCGACCAATGAGTCCTCATAGCGCATATGCCAACTAGAGATTGACCAGTTGCAGTCCTAAACATCAATGGGAAGATTAAAACAAACAATACTAAGTGAATTTATACTTAACCCCATTGCACAAGCAAGTGTCTATCTGAACTCAGTGACCGAGTGGATAACGCGTAGGCGTTTGAAACGAAGGGTACTGGGTTCGAGTCCCAGAGTGAACATCGACTCTGAGATGCAGGTACATCCAGCTGACGAGTCCCAAATAGGACGAAACACGCCTCCTGAATTCCACTGCTAGCCACTATCCATTTTTTCTTACCATTGTTTTTGTGTTTAACTTAATTTCTATGTAGTTTTAATCATTTATCATAATTTCCAAAAAATAAATATCCTGTCACATGATAATTTTATCTTTTCAAGTATTCTTTTAAATTGAATTGTCAACAGTTTCATTTGGAACAGGTTTAAGAAATTACACTGTATACACTAATACAAATTTTTTGAAGTAGTACTTGTCAATATTTGTTGTACATACATAACACCATTTTCCCTCGATCAAAAAGTTTTAATTATTTAAATAGTTTAGAAAGTTAATAAGAGGACAAATTTGATTTTTGATGTAATTCTTTTTTGAAAACTATGAATTCCATGATATTAGGAAAGAAACGCTGAATAAGAATGATCAAATCATTTTATATTGAATCAGCGAAATGTATTATTCTATAAGTTTATAGTATAGTTGGTTATTAAATAATTACTGTTTTCATGAGTGGTGCAGTTATCCTATATTGTGATGTTATGTGATTTTTGTTTTGACTCTAGAAATTATTTTTTTAGTAACGTTGTTATGTCATTGATATTTTGTTATCAATATATTGAGAAACGATAACATCAAGTGCAGTTACTTTAACTCTGAAATTAAATTCTTGAGATAATCAACTAAGAATAGATAAGTGATTGAACTTTCACAAATCTTTTCGGGAAGTCATCTTAGATAAGCATTTAAAAGATATAGTGCATCACACGCTTTGATACTGACATATTTGTTAAATTTGAAGAAGCTTTACTTTTATTTTCCTTAATTTACTTGATTTCGGGAGGCGTGTCCAGTAAATTGAATTCATACATTTAGTTTAGTACTTGAAAAGGCTAATGGATAACTACATGGATTTAATACAATATGTTGACAGGATTCCTTTGTCTTTCTGATTCAACAAACTATTATAGGTGACTGCAAGATTGATGAAAGTCCATTTAGTCCAAAGGTTTGCAGATAAGCTTAGTTGTATTGTACAGGGTAAGAGGTTGTGTTAAATTCCACATCAATGTCTTTATTTGAGTTAGAAACCCTAAATTAATAGTAAACTAATTGATGAAGTAAGGCCAGTTTACAGTTTCGATTACACGAAAAATAGTATGTTTGTTGTATTTCTACCGTAAAGAGTTAGTGACAAGAAGTTTTCTTTTTATTTCAAATTTATGATTTTTCTTAATGGTGAAGACAAACCTCAATTAAGTTTAATGTTTTAAATTAGTAAACAACTTAGTAGTCGGTTAACTTTACAGCATGTTTCATAGAAAAAAAAAGAGTCACGTATTGATCAATGAAGACTTATTTCAGTTAGTATTTCTTTCCTAATAGAGTAAGGCATTGAATTGCCGTAGTTGCGTTACGAAAGTTATATCTTCTAGATGTATTGTTGAAATCAATGGTTCAATAATGTCAGCCTAATAAAATCCAGAAAATAGTAGCTCTGATAATTATGTACCAAGCAGTCTTGATTGATTTTTTAGAATACTTTATATGAATAAACCTGTAATGTGATTTTCTTCAACCATTCCTTTCATGATGAAATATAGTAGTGTTCATTTTTATTTAAGTGTTGCTATTAATACATTTATACCAGGGGAAAATAAACAGGGCGATATAGATCGTCACACTACCGAAAGATTTTAGTTCACTTTTCTGTAGGACTGTAGGTGTGCATACCTAATAAGTCTCATCCAAGGAGAAATATTTGTTTACTGATCTTCGGTATTCAATCCTTTCCTATTAAATGTCGATCCACTATAAAATGTGATTTCAAATAACAAATGAAGTAATACGATATTCTTTTCTTAAATCAAAATAACAAGTAAATTTGTGTGTATATGAAAATGACAATGTTCCACGGATAATTCAATTATAAATTATTATTTAACTATATTTTATCCGTTACCGAATGGGATCCTAGGAATAATTATTTCTTACTGTCATTATCGTGTTAATCTTTTAGGAGTATAAATCCTAGATCTTATTTTTAAGTGGAAATTTAAACCTAATATTCAGATCATACATAAATAATATCTTCGAAATTTTGCTTACAATAGTTAATGATTGGTGATTTGTTCACATTGTTGAATAAAACTATTGTTTATTTCCATAAATTACTGTTTATTCATAAATTTGTTGAATTTTCGTTTTCTGTCTAAATTATAAGGATTATCAAGTCATGATTTGGTAAGACGTCGTGAAGTCTTCGGGACCAATATAATACCCCCAACACCTCCAAAAAGTTTTTTTCAACTTATGTGGGAAGCTTTACAGGATGTAACTTTGATTGTTTTAATGGTGGCTGCAGCTGTGTCACTTTTACTGGCATTATATTCTAAATGTAAGTTATCATTATTAAAATTTGATTGATGCAATATTTTTATTCTCCAAATTACTGTTAAACAGTTAACTTTCTATCATTAATGAGGATAAATTATATTTTTAAATTCTCAGCGATTAAATCTTAGGTAAATCCAACATTTTACTCAGCCATCTGGTTTAAGCTTCTCCAATAAAATATACTCAATTACTGAATAGGAACTCCGTATGATATTGATTATCTTCTCAGGCATGCCGTAGTGTCGAAGAAGCCTCCATAGTGTGGTCCTCTTCACGCTATCACAGGCTTTCTCGTACTCAATGAAGTTGGTGTAGATTGATGAATTCCATTCAATTGATTGTTCCACAATGATCCGTAGAGTTTCGATTTGGTCTGTACACGATCGATCCTCATGGAATACAGCCTGTTGATCTCGAAATTGCACGTCTACGGAGTCCTTCATTCTGTTTAATAATACCCTGTTGAAGACTTTTCCTAGTATTGAGAAAAGAGTGATGCCCCTGTAGTTATCACCCTTGCTGAGATCGCCTTCCTTTGGTATATTGATCAGGTGTCCTTCTTTTCAGTCTGTTGGTACTTGTTCTTGATCCCAAATCTTACTGAAGAGAATTTTGAGTATCTTCAATTGTTGGTAGGCCGACATTGATTGGGAGGTCTGTGGGTACTACTTCAATCTTGGGTTGGTTCAGTAGAGCTGGTTGATTCAAGAGTTCTTTGAAGTGTTCTACCCACCTGTTTCGTTGTTCTTCAATGTCGGTGATTAATTTGCCTTCCTTGATTTTCACTGGTCTTTCTGGTTTGCTGTGTGATACAGTTTTCTCATGTTTCCTTCTCTTGCAGCCTTTTCTACCGTCATTGCTTGATCTTCCACATGTTTATGCTTGTCGACTCTGATTCTCCTTTTCACTTGCTTGTTTGCTTCTGTGCATTCAGATTGTACCTTGGCTTTCTCTGTTTTTGTTCGGCTGATATTGATTGCAACCTTCTTGTTCCTCCTTTCTTGATTCTTATCCAGTGTATCAACAGTGATCCATTCATTGTGGTGGTGATTTTTGTTGCTCATAACCTCCTGACATGTTGAAGTGACTGCCTCTTTTTTATCCCTTTCCAGTTGCTCTCCATAGTAGTTCTCTCTCCATTGAGTAGATCGTGAAAGGCCTAGAACTTATTGTTGAGAGCTATCTTGAATTTGTTGAGTTTGTCAGTATCCCGAAGAAAAGCTGTAGTAAACTTTTGTGATGTTGTCCGTGCCGTTGTCCAGTGCTTCTTGAGTTTCGATTTCACCTTGGCGAATAGTAAATAATGATGTGAGGCTATATCAACTCCTCTCTCGGTTCTCACATCCTCCACCGTCCTCCCGAACGTTTTGTTGATGCAGATATGGTCAATTTTGTGAAGTCCATGTGGTCTCTTGAATGCGTTTGTGTGGGAATATATTGCCACCTATAACCAGTTTGTTGAAGGCACATAGGTTTTCAAATCTCTCACCATTTTCGTTCCTTTCTCCCAGTCCATGTAGTCCCATGACGTCTTCGTATCCAATGTTGTCCATTCCAATTTTGGCATTTAATCTCCCATCAGAATGGTCAGGTCCTTTGTTGGGCACTTCTCAAACCTTACACATAATAAAAATTCATCAACATCTCTTTCATTTTATTTCCTGTGATTGACTGACTGACTGTCTGCACATGATCTCTTGGAACTTGCGGCAAATATGTTAGTCATGAAGTCATTCCAATAAATTCCAACTAGTAACAGCATTGGCAACAGATTATAAGTCCCTGTTCATTTCAGAAAATAAAATATCTGGACAAAATATTAAAATGCTTGATGAGCGTCAGGATTAAGCATAACAATCATTAGTTTCGACTCAAAATAAATCTGTTTGAAATGGTTATAGAAAGCCGCGATTTATGTCGTTGACCAAATATATATGGTCATAGTTGTTTGAGGACAAGTCAAATTACACGCCAAATTGACTGAGATTGAAGATATTGGACGTTGATATAAAGCCCTGTGTTTCCCAGAGTAGTATGTTGTTTATTTAGATCAAAAGTTTGGTCCTGAGGGAGAGTATGATACCATAGTGTTAATGACATGTGAGTTAAGACAAAATATATCGCTTAGTACTTCGTAATTTCCCGTAGTTTTTTAACTAAAGTTAACGTGTTATGGTGATTAAGTATATCTTTAGGTATGTTTATTGTAAAGTAGATATTTGACAATGTTTGACATATTTATTAAAAAGCTGGGTAATGGGAGGAATTTGGGTTAGTTTTTGCATATATATATATATATATATATATATATATATATATATATATATATATATATATATATATATGTCTGTGTAATTTCCTGTCTTCTCATCACTAACTCGATATAAATCCTATAGGAAAAGCCTAGTAGCTTTCTACTATTTTAATTATTTTAACTGTTTTTCATCCACATAATATCGATTAACTGAATGGATTAAGATATATGTTAGGTTTTTATTGATTGAACCAACCTATTACTTGAAATGACACTACCGTTATTTCTTTTGTTTCTTGTTAATTTTGTTTCGCCGTTCTGATATGCCATGTGGACTTGAACTAACGTCCAAATTCCCCACGATAGTGACTGACTGATTGGCTTGGATTGTGGAATGGTATTAATGTTTCGACAATGGAATGAATATATATATAATATATACCAATTTACAGGCATAACCAGGTTGATACTGAAAGCTATGTTACACGTAAAGGACAGGAATTTAAGTTTCGATTGTTTGAAATGTTGTAGTTTAGAAATTACTTTTAAATGACGTTTGTCACAAGAGTTACAACAATCTAAGGAAGCAGTTGGGAGCCAATAATTCTTTGTAGGATGACTGGAGGGTTCTGTTGATGTATGAATGGTATACCCAAGGTCATTTGAGATGTCACTACAGAACAGTTGTAGTCATCTATAACTAGAAAAACAAAACAAAACAGAGAACACAGAATGAAAGCAGCAAAAATTACTGTGACAGGCTTGCCACCATACAAGTTCTAATTTGTTTTATGATCTTCGATCGGAATGGATATTAAGTTAGTCAAACTAACCAAAGGCAGTTTGAGTATAAATTATTCACGAGGCAAGTTTAATAAGTACACTCAATAATAACAATGATCAGGCATGTAATATTTCTGTAATTTCACACGTAGAATAGGATATAGACGGTTTTATTCACTTTTAAGGTTGATTCAGAGGAAGGTAAACATAGATACAATGAACAAATAATGAAAGTGATTTTATTTCAAGGATAGATTATGGAAAATCGTTCCAAAATTTTGGAAATTTACTAGTATGATGACTTATGTAGAGGAAAGATTTAGGGTGAAATAGTTTTACTAATCATTAATAGTTATAAATGTTTTAACTAGATGTTTCTGCAAAATGGATTTGATTAGTGGATATAAAATTTAGTTGATCTAGTATTTTGAAGGGGAAGATTAGATTTCTTTGAAACCTCTGTTTCCTAAAAGAGTTAAGTTCAAGCTTGTTGGATCTAGATTTGTAGTTTAAGGCAATATCATTTTTGAGAATGCAAAGTGTAGGTTGTCGCTTGACAAATTTAAACTTACGTTTATCCTTTATTCAAACGCTACTCAAAATAATTGTACAATATTCTAGGATATATCAGAAACATGCTTTATATATCAAAATACGTGGTTTATATTCATAGAGATTAAGAACTATACAACCTAGGAGTCGTTGATACTTGAAAATCTGTTTGAAGACCTGTTATGAGGAACAATTATCGGGATATTTGAATCCTTAGTCCACCACTGTATAAAAAGACGACAGTAATTGTGCTACAATATGATTATACTATTTGCTTCAAATTTCTTGAGATATTTGCTTATGATATCTGTGCAACAACCATAAAGTGTATCTCATTATAGTCAGAACAGAAGTTTAAGATTTGGATTTTGTCTATATTAAAATTCAATAATAGAGTTCACTTACATTTAAAAAAGTATTCCAAGACGAATACTATTATGTACATAATGGATATGAAACGTTATTAATTCTATAGGAAGGCTGTGGGATGAATTCACTGTTTGAACGCTAACTATACTTTAAGGATGTCGGGTTGAAACTCATAAAACGACATCTTAAATGTTGAATGTTTTGCATTTTGAATTCATGACTTAATTTAAACATAGAAACTAGTAGTGAGAAAAATTTAATTTTAATACGATATAAATGACAGCATTTAAAAATTCACAAACTTATATAACATTAGAAGTTGAGAATTGTTATGTATATAGAATCAAACTTAATCGTTTCATCATAGTTTAATTATTATCAGAATGGTAGTTACTCGTTTGTATTCTTAATTTTTGTGAAAAAAGAACTGTCTCTTTTCATTTCATCTCTTTTACATCTTTCATTTATCCTCTCCTTCTTTCCAATGAAAAGGAACACATTGAAAAGACATTAAGAATGTACATTTTTCGTTTTGTACATATCCCATTTCGGTTATATTTATTCTATTCTTTTTTTTACCTTTTAATTTTGAATCATCTCTTACAGTTTTTTCTTCTCTCATTATCTCTGCATACGAATGTATACGTATGTGTTAATTGGTATGTATTTTAAAAGCTTAAGTAAAAATGTCATAAAATCTTTTAAACAATATAGTGAATACTAATTCTGAAAAGACAATATAGAGACAAAAAAATAAACTATTTGAAGTAAGAAGAAGAATTCAGTTGATTGATTCATGAAATTCATCATTTTTATTTAATAAATAAGGATATACAAAAAATGAAAAGTAGGGAATAATTGTTCCAATTAACAATGAGATCAATTGATTGCTCATTTATTCAGCATGGGAAATAAAGTACAGAGGGAGAGAGCTCTAGCTTACCTTTCCTCTTAAAGAGGGATTCGTCTTCATCCCGGGTTTTAATTCTTTAGTCTTGTTAGAATTTATGTTTAAATCAATCGGACATTCATACAACATGATG